TCATGAAAGTTGTACAAGATACAAACAGAATACGGGAATATTGTCAAACAATTTGGTACGTTGAAAAAGGGAAAGAGTGTCATAAAAATCGGAGTGGATGGATTACCAGAAACCAAAAATAGTTTCTAGGTTGGTGCAAGAATAATCTAAAAGAACTTAGGTTTTGAATCTAAAAACCAACATATTAGAGGAATTAGTGAACCGGCATGAAAAGCTCATGTCACTAAGAAATGAAATCACTTGGATTACAAGAAAATACTAAAAAAGAACACAATGAAGATATAAATTTCTTTTTCTATTACAAACGTAGCAACAGAGTTACACCGCGTACCTTGATGCTATTAGTCAATTGGCGATTATAGAAGAAAGGCGATCTTGTAGTAGACTCATCAAACACAAAACCTGGCTCCGAATGTATATATATCGAGAAATTACCAGTCTCTGCATTCTGCATACACCAAAGAGATTGTGGAAAATTGAAAAATACTTCATTCAGATTCTGAAACAGCCATTACGCACTAGTAAATTAAAAAATAAATGAATTTTCGCTTAAGGAGCTGTCCTATATTTACTGAATTATGAAAAACTGAAAAATCAGCTGACCTCGAAGAAACTTCCCCAGAGGAAATCGAGAGGCAAATTACGACGGACTAGAAAGAGGAAAGCAACTTTAGGATTGCCGCTATAATCAACAGCTCGAGATCTACGAGAAATAGAAGAAGTAGAAATAGAAGAAGAAAGTTCCGAATCGGAAAGAGAGTAGCTCTGGAGCTTCAAAAAAGCTAACACGCAAAGAGTAAGAGACACTACAACCACTAGTTTCCACCACAACCACAACACGTTCCGCACGGACATTCCGGCTGTCGCCGCCGCGGACAACGACTTCTTCGTCATACTAGGTTTGAAAAATCTCTTTACTCCTCTTCTTCCTTCTCCTCCTGAAATTGAACAATTCAAATTTGCATTAGATTTGTACTTTCCCTGTATGTTTGCAAAAATACATATGTGTATGTGTACAACTGTACATTGAAGAGGTGGCGGTTGAAGGGAGAGAAGCATTTGAGAGACGACACCAATTGCTCTTTCCTTCTTCCTTTTTTCACAGCCAAATTACAAGTATCTTGCTTTCTTGCCGTGCTTTGCCTTTTTTGTTTTGTTCCTTGTTGCACAGCTGTCTCAGAAACAAAGAAGGAAGAGATACTGACGACGTCGTTCCCCGCACCTTCTAACTTCCAAGTTCCAACTGTATGCAATGATCGTATTCGTCATTCGCTACCTGGCAGGCTGGCCTAATTAAAGTATTGTTTTTCGTAAATATCATCTCCTTTTATTTTTTCTGTTAAGCCGAGAGTCTTTTTGAAAATAGCAAGGTTTGCGTACACACTATCCTCCCCAGACCCATTAATAGAATTTTAGTAGGTTGTTGTTGTTATTGTCATCAATACAAGAAGAATATGGTTACAATTCTCCGATCTGTCTTATGTCTCACAGAATTATTATTTCGTGTTCAAATGATATGTTTAATGTGCTCCAGATGATTAAAAACTGAAAAAAGTGTGTTTTCGAAACAATAAAAATATTGAGCTAACATCTCAATCACACAAAATTCCTTAACATACTACTTAAAAGATTCCTAATTAGACTACTTTTATGTTCACTTTCGAGAAGCATATATAGGTGGAGTTATTTCCAAACAATCGTAATTTTGAAATTTTTTTTAATCGGTATTATGTAGTATCATAAAATTATAAATTAGGAGTTTTATATTTTAAGATTTACATGTTGTAAGAAGGTGCATAACAATGGTATTTCTCGATTTGTCGACACTTTATAATTGAAATGTTTCTAAATCAACAAACATTATTGTATAGAAAATGGTAAAACCAATGTATTCCATATTGATACTACCTTATGCAAACGCACATGCATAAATACTAGAGTAGTTTTATAAAATCCTGAATCAGAAATATCAAATTGAAGATATTCCAAACAGTAAACATCTAAGACTAGATACTTTCCCCCTCATGGAATTAGGAGAAATTCTGAAATCTGTCAAGAGTTCAATGGAAGCACATGCACAAATCGTCACCACAATTAAAATTGGATGAGTTTGGTACCGACCATTGAAGTAAACAAGGCGATTCCATTATTTAAAATTGGGAAATTAAGACGTGAGAACATGGAGGCTTCTTCCGTTGTAGAGTTATAAACTTATAGCTAAAGTTTGTTATTACGCTATTCTGTTTGGAACATATTACCCTCTGTTTTAAAAGGCATAATTGGGATTCGTTCGGGGTTTGCCCTGGGGCGGAGCACTCGTAAAACGTTCATGAGCTCATGTGTGAGGCTTAGTTACATGAGACTTACGTCTCGTCCTCCGGGGCTTACGCTCCGGACACGCCCGGCGTACTGGGCTCACCTAATAGAACTTTATGCAATTGTGTGAAACTAACTTGTAAATCCTCAAATTTTCTTAATAAACCGTTGTCTATTCAAAATTACTTTTTTTCTTAATAATAAATTATTAAGTTGAGAGTATTTTATGTCATAATTAAAATAACGATTATTGCACGTTATCCACCAAGACTGCTATAATAGTAAATTTTAAATAAATTTTTCATTTAAAAATATTTATTTATTAGCTTTTGTTATGTCTTTACTTTATAATAGTCCATAATTTTTTATCATTATTTTCCTAAATATTATTTTTTTCACGTTTACGAGATACAATACTTATTAATTTTATAGCTCAGTATTAGCTAGTAATTATTTACGATTAGTTATCATGGTATAGTATGGTGAATTATGTGTTATTTAATTAACTTGTTGAAACTTAAAAATAAATGATGCTAGAGAATCATATCTAGATTATGAATTACGTTTTTATATAAATTCTCTTTCAAATAGAAAGCATATTAAATAAAGGAAGTATTTTAAAAAAAAATATCAAATTATAATATCGGAATTCTTTCAAGATTCATTACTCCTTAAGAGATACATATAAGATTTCACATCGAATACATTACTTTTGATGTTTGAATAGTAACGACGTTGCAACTAATTTGCATATTATGATGATGTCATACTATTCGTATTATTCATAGTTGAATTATAATTTATAAATATTTTGAATAGATTATTTGTTATAATTTTGTGATTTTAATGTAATTTTTACAATTATTTTTTATTTTATACTATCTTAAAGTTCTTAAAATTAATAAATTTAAAGATCCGGGATTTACGCCCCATGTCTCAAGCCTTACGTCTCACCTCGTTAGAGGTAAAACGACTCGCCTCACGCCCCGCCTTTTAAAACATTGATATTACCTAACTTCCCTAGGCCACTTGAACATCAGCATAGGAGTTAGGACAACACCTCCTCATTCCACAGGCACATCCAAAAATTAAGTGAACCGCGAGAATCATTCGCTATGTCCATATTATTTGTATTTTACAGGTTTTTATACACATTTTAAGAAACAATTGTAATGGCATTAGTTATAAGAGTATTTACAATCAAACGTTATAGTGGAGTAGTAAGTTTTTTTACTTTTCTACCGGAAGTCTCGAGTTCAAGTCTTGGGTATGGAGTCGTGATGAGTTAATTTTTGGGGTTTTAACACCGTATACCCCTCTAAAAATCTCTTTACTCACTATGCCTTAATTATGAAAGTTACACTGTATACCTATAAAGAAATTACATCGTATATCTTGATAAAGAATCTTATGTGTGTAACAATCACTATTAATAAGGGGATAATATCCCTTAAATGTAGCCTTAATTATTGAAATCTGTACTCAATGAATTTTGAGATTCACATCTCCCCTAATTAAACCATATTCCTATTTTTCATCAGAACTTCATTTTTGATATTGTATGCTCTATACTTTTCAAATCTTCNAACTACATATACCATAATATTTTATTTTATAATATATTATTCAAATACTATAATATTTTAATTTGGAATACAACATTCAAACTAAATATACCATAATATTCTAATTTGGAATACAGTATTCAAACAGAACATACTATAATATTTTAATTTGGAATACAATACTCAAACAATATTTTAATTTGGAATACAATATACAAACCAAATATTCTACAATTTTTTAATTTGAAAAAATCTGGTTTGAATACTGTATTTCAAATTAGAATATTGTAGTATGTTTGATTTGAATATTGTATTCCAAATTAGCATATTGTGTTATGTTTGATTTGACTATTCCAAATTGGATTATCATCGTTGTTTGATTTGAATAATGTATTTTTCATTAGGATATTGTGGTGTATTGGTTTGAATAAACATATCTGATATTTTATTTTAGTTTATATATTATATCCCAAATTAGAACATTGTCACGTTATTTTGTTTTTCTTTTGATTACATATATGAAAGAGAAGAAAAAGATTATGGAGGACTTTATAGAGAAATTTCTGGGGTGGACTTTTGGTGAACATGTATAATTCCAATTCCTTAAAACGTGGGATGATGGAGTGTTTTAAGGGATTTATTAAGTTGGAATGAGAGATAACTTAGTTCCTCAAAAGGTGGGATTTATTTAATGGCATATAATGATATTAAAAATTTAAAAAGTAATAAACTTTTATAAAATAAGTATACAAGGTAAAATAAATATTTCAAAGGTATATGGAGTTAACTAGCATTTCCAGTGGGCATACCGTTACCTCCAAAGTGGGACTTCTTAGTCTAAATGTGGACTAGTCAAGCCCAAAGCGATTATTGAACACCAAATGGGAAACCAAAACAAAAAGCAAAAAGATTATATGAGTATCTAGAAAAAATAAATAAATGTTTCTTATATAAATGTATAGTTCATCTAGAAGGCAACAGTAGTGCATCTGCTATCGGCTGCTACATCCGCCATTGTCCAGCTAGAAATGAAAATGGACTGTGGGTGAGCGGAGGGGTACAAAGCCACTTGAAAACATTTGGAAAAGTAACTAACAATCCTTGCAAAATGAAACAATGTTCACTGAAGCTGTGACTTATGATGTTTCTGTGATGAAACCTTAATATATAAATACAACAACAGCGTATTCAAATACAATGGTACAACAACGAACATAAGTAACACAAACTAATAGATTAAGCAATTCCGCAGACCCCTCTTTCTCTCTTCTACTATACAACGGAGCCTGTTCCACTTCCATTGCTCGGGAGCTTATTGTCCTCTAACAATAATGGTCCCATTTGGTGTTCAATAATGGTACAACAAATGAATTATGGTACAGAAACCATCGCTGCTTGCAACTCCACAGTTGTTAATCCATCAACGCTTATGAAACAACATAACGTATAGGGATTCCAGGCATTGTATCAGCTATTCTTGAGCTACTTTAACCTTTTTCTGTGCATCTATGACAATGTTCAGAATTTTTCCTTGGACGTAAATTCTCTTCCTAATAGATTTCCCATCCAAAAATTTGGATAGTTTTGTATCAAGTGAAGGTAATCTAAAGGCCTCCTCTTCTGTGCATGTTTCTTCAACCTGTATAGTACCTCTCGTCTTTCCATTTATTTGGACTGGAAGGACTACAGTGCTCTCTTTTAAATATGCAGCATCAGCCTGTCATTATAATGGTAATCAGCAAGCGCTTCACTTAATCCAATGATTTAAGATGTTCATGAGCTTCTTCTATTTCTTTTTGATAAAGTAAGATGTTCATGAGCTTCTTCTATTTCTTTTTGATAAAGTAAGATGTTCATGAGCTTTTAGTAATCCCATAAATTTAATTAGTTTCTCGAGGCCACTATAGACAACAGTAAGTATTCATAACTTTCAGAAATACATGTGTCATAGCCTGCTTGTGTAGAATATTTGCTGAAAATGGACTCCTGCAGTTTTACAAGAAAACTGGACGATTAAGTACTTACATAACGAGAAGCTCTCTAGTAGGATGTTTGTAACTTAGTTCCCTTTTCTTTAGCAACAGAATAAGACTAGAAAAGACGAGTGATCTCCGAACGGCAGGATGGGGGAAAGAGGAATACAGAAAGTAAAAATCTAGGATCAAGGAAAAGCTCACCTTAGGGAAGGGCTCATATGCCAAGGAATTTGAGTGTCCAAGACGAGACCAGTGGTAGGACCGGAAAACGTCAGGTGTCATGCGGAAGCTAGTAAAGTAAACTTTGAGTGACGATAAATCCAACAACAAAAGAGAAATCTACCAAAAGAGACACAAACATATAACGTGGTTCGGTCAACTGACCTACATCCACGACGGAGATGAGCAATCCACTATAATAAAAGAGAGTACAAAATATCGAGAGAACAACCTCACGAAGAGGCAAACACAAGTGACACACTAATACTTGTCCCGTAAAATTCTTCCCCTAAACAAGACTCTCAAGCCCCCTATGGCTACATTGTGGATGCTACTGAATGAGAGGATGGATCTTCAATTTATAGAACTCCAAACTTTTTCCTACAAGAAAAGGGATTAGCCAAATATGGAAGAATTTATAATTTCCTTTTACAAAACGGAAAACCTAATTAAGGTAATTATATTGCTCTTTTCATTCAAGAGATAGGAAAACCAAATATAATAAGAAAATTATGGCAAACACCTAACAACTAGAACTCCTCTGCCATGTGAGGTGCATATGGTGAGAGCAGCAAAATAAATGCTTCAATTATAGATCTCGGAAGTTTGTCCCACTAAAAACATGAGATCCAAAGGATTAGTCCAAATGCTATCAGAAACAGGTAACTTGCAAGGAATTTAATATAGCATCTCTCTGTTTCCCTTCTTAATTTTCCTTATTTTCCGTGGAAGAAATTCAAGTGTCTAATTTGATCTCATTTCAAGGAATCTACTAAATAGCTTCTTGCAGAAATACAGGTAAGACGGCATAAAATAGACCCAATGTGGTCCAGCCCGTCCCCGGACCCGTGCATAGTGGGAGCCCAATGCACCGGGCTACCCTTTTTTGTCAGTGAAGTCTACAAGCATTCAATTGGAAATTTCAATTTAACATGGAATGAGAAGAGCTAGAGAAGTCCTCTTGGGAGTAGTGTGGATATCCCTATTCTTTTCCTTTTTTTCCTATTCTTTGAGCAGTGAGGGAGAAATGAGGATAGTGTAAAAGGAGAAGATTCACCTTATATGCTGCGTTAATAATTTCCATCATCGCAGAAATTCCAGTGTTGAACCGAGTTCCTTCAATTTCTTCATTTACCTGTTACGTTAAAACAACATGCAAATCGATGATTGCTGTTTAATAACAGGAAAGCATTAACGCTCCAACAATATTCAATCCTAAAGAATACATGCCAGCCATAACTAATGGCAAGTAGTACTACCTTATCAATGCATCTGTGTAAAGAAGGAAGTTGTTCAATTGAAGGTTTCTCATCAACTATGGAAGTTCCATCAGGATATGAACCAGTGGGCGAGGTTGAACTAACAATCAATCTCCAAGATCTTGCTAGGAAACGGTGAACGCCTTCAATACCACTTGTATTCCATGTTTTCGAGTCTCTATCGGACATAATAAAGATGTGCATTATGCAGTAGAAGATATGCCGTGCGGATACAACTTTGAAATGGTTGTGTACATATATTACAATAAACAAAAAATTTGAAAAGCAAAAGATAAGGACAGGAGACGCACCTTAATGGACCCATAAACATTTCATATAAGCATAGAGAATCTGCACCATACTCCAAAACAACATCATCAGGATTGATGACATTTCCCCTAGTTTTACTCATCTTGTGAGCTCGGGCAATCAAGCGAATATTGGGGTTATCTTTCAATACAAAGAAATCACCAGATCTCATGACCTATTCACCATCAAAAATACAGTTTCAAACTGATGAATTACATTCTGAAAGCTAAAACTAACATAAAAAGATGCTAAAAGATTGAAGTAATTGCACATAATCAGTATATAAATAAACCTTTTCCTCAGGTATTTTCTCTTGGTTGTACTCAGGCTGCTCATAGGCAGAGTCTGCTGATATCAAGTTTCCTTTGTCATCTTTGCATGTTGTATATTGAACCTGCCAACTTGATCATTAAAGATAGGCAATGAAATAATGGACTTTCAAGACCAAGCAAATCAACTTACTTCACCAAGGATGATGCCCTGATTTATGACACACTTAAATGGTTCCTTTGTTGACACAACACCTATGTCATAGAGAACCTGCAACAATGAACCTAGTCATGATTTTTAATAGAAATGTTGGAGAAGAAATATAACATGCTCTTGTGAATTGAATTGCTCTTCTGAAGGAGAAAAAAAAGTGGGCATTCCTCTTGCTTGTTAAGCCTTTTTTGGTTTTTGAGAAGGTAACTTACCTTTTTTGGTTTCTCTGTCCTACCTCGTCTATTTTTCCACATGTATACTCAGACTAGAAGAAGATTCTTCCATATTCATGTGTCAAAATTTCTTATATCGTTTTCGAATTTGAATAAAGCTGTATTTCGATAATCTAAAATTACATAGAACGTATCACTATTTAGGTGTCATATTGATTTTTATGTTTAATTATTAAATTCGGTTAATCTTGAAAGCTTATATCAACCAAAAGTTATTGTTAGACGACTAAGAAAATAAACTATTATATGTTACTAAAAAAATTCTCCCATAAGAATACTTTAATAGATCATGTGTTTGTAATTTTTTTTTAATTTTTGGTAAACATATATTCACTTATTAAAATTTTATCTATAACTTTAATAAAGCAAGATTAGAATAATATTCATGTAGCAAAAATACCCGAAAAATCCGATAAAACCAAACCAATCCAAACCGATATAAATCGGTTTGTTTTGGTTTTGATAAAATCCGAACCAACTCGGTCCATGTACACTCCTAATCCTAGAGGTGTCAAATGGGTGGGTTGGACTGATTTTGGGCGGATTAAAATAGATTGAGTTAATAAATGAGCGGGTCGATGACCCGCCCAAAAGTATCTTGAATTGAGATGGGCTGGGTCAAGTTGGACTAGAATTTGGGCCATAGCCCAACCCGCGCCTACTCTTACCAAGCTTTAATTAATGAGTATTATTTTCTTATGAATTGTTTTATTATCAAATAAGATTTTTTTTTCTTTTGTTATGGTCATATTGTTAGGTGTTTGCCGTAATTTTCATACCATATTTGGTTTTCCTATTTGTTGAAGGAAAGGGCAACATGTTTACCTTAATTGGGTTTTCCTTCTTGTAGAAGGAAATTACAAATATCCTATATTTGGCTAGTCCTTTTTCTTGTAGGAAAAGGTTTGGACTACTATAAATTGAGGATCCTTTCTTCTCATTCAATAGCATTCACAGTGTAGCCATATGGGGTTTGAGAGTCGTGTTTAGGGGGGGGGGGGGGAACTTTACGGGACAAGTGTTAGTGTGCCAATTGTGTTTGCCTCTTCGTGGGGTTGTTCTCTCGATATTGTGTACTCTCTTTTTATTATAGTAGATTGCTCATCGCCGCCGTGGACGTAGGTCAGTTGACCGAACCACATTAAATGTTTGTGTCTCTTTTGGTATATTTTTCTTTTGTTGTTGGATTTATCGTCGTGCACGGTTTGCTTTGCTAGTTTCCACATGACACCTGATTTTTTCGGTCCTAACACATATAACATATATCAAACAAAAAAAAGTTATTTTCAACATGTTTTAGCAAAGGTACTCATTGATCAATTTAGGCAAAAACCAGCCCAACTTGTGATAGGTGGTCAAGATGGGCTGAGTTAAACAAATAAGGTCAATGACCAATCCAATTTTGAACGGATTGAGCGGATCAAATGGGTTTACGCTCAAATTGCCATCCCTAATCATGCTAATGCAGAAGGTCCCAGAGAATGGTGTCCATCTGGCCAAAGACAAAAATGTCACAAATATCTAGCGGACTTTAGTTTCCTGCTTTCCCATGGCCAAAGTCCCATACACTAGAAAACACACTAAGAACACACTAAGGTGGGTCTATGAAGACCAAAAGTGAACTTTATCTTAACCAAAGGAAAAGAAGGAAAAAGGTATATATTAAAAAAAAAAGCACAATATAATAGATTAAAGAGTTACCAAGAGATCTACTTCAGACATGGTGATAAGTTACTCCTCCTCTATTACTTGTTCTATTACTTCCACTACTGTATTTGATATAGGAAATTATAAAGACTAGGCTGGTGAAAATTGAGCCACAAAATGTAACAGTCATCCTTCTCCTCCAAAGGCTCTCTTGATTGCCACCCCATCAGAAGCAGGAAGCTATCTTGTACTGATATTTCTTCATGGCTATCTTCTTTACAATTCTTTCTATACTCAGCTTATTCAACATGTCTCTTCTCATGGCTTCATTGTTGTGGCTCCTCAGGTTTGTTCCTTTTTCACTTTATTGATTGTGAACTCAGAATTATACAATCATCCTATATAAAGTATGATAGTACTTCTCCTGTTCTTGTTCTTGGTATCCTCTTCAAAACAATTGAAAGTCTGGTAAGGGAAATATTGATATAATATGAGGTTATTGGGAAGCAGAGATTTATTAGTACTTGCTATTTATAACTAGCATTAACAATTTTTGGATTAGGAAATTAAGGTCTAGGATAATGATGTATAAATCAACCAATCATTACAGTATAGTCTGTATACTGTTTTGCTAGTGAACAATTATTTTATTTTCATTGAGTTTAAGTGTTGTAAAAGGGCAGCTCGGTGAACTAAACTCTCGCTATGCGCGGAGTACGGGGAAGGGGCCGAACCACAAGGATCTAATGTACCTAACCTTATCCTGCATTTCTACAAGTGGTTATTTCCACGGCTCGAACCTGTGACCCCCTGGTCACATGACAACAACTTTATCAGTTACGACAAGGCTCTCCTTCATCGAGTTTAAGTGCTGTGCGGTGACAATATTAAAAATCTTTACACCTTCAGGCCACTAATAAGATAACTACTGGTAAATCTCAATGATAAGTACTACTTTGGTGACTGAGTAAAAATGATAACTAATCTGCTATCACACGTTAAGCTATACTGATAATATAAATTTCAGTGTATGTAACTTGAATTGATTTTCATTTGTGGTTCTCAAGTGACATTTCATTTGCCTTGTACTAGTTATATTTGGTGGAAGGAGCAGATGCAACTGAGGATATCAAATCAACTGCTGAAATCACAAATTGGTTAGCTGAAGGATTGCACCATTACCTTCCATCCGATGTTGAGCCAAACTTGAAAAAACTTGGACTAGCAGGCCATAGTCGTGGAGGAAAAGTTGCATTCGCGCTAGCTCTTGGAAAAATTGCTAATATTTCTACTAACCCGAAATTTTCAGTATTGATCGGTGTTGATCCTGTTGATGGCATGGACAAAGGAAAACAAACTCCACCATCAGTTCTCACCTATACTCCTCATTCCTTCAATCTTGATATGGCAGTGATGGTAATTGGCTCGGGTTTGGGAGAAGTTAAAAAGAACCCTCTCTTCCCTGCTTGTGCTCCCAATGGGGTAAACCATGGCGATTTCTACAGTGAATGTTGCAAGCCAGCTTGTTACTTTGTGGCAGAGGATTATGGACACAATGATATGTTAGATGAAAGGAATTAGAGGCAAGGCTACTTATTGTTTGTGCAAGAAAGGGAAATCTAGAGAACCAATGAGGAGATTTGTTGGAGGGGTTCTGGCTGCATTTTTGGAAGCTTATTTGGAAGGGAAATCAAGAGAGTTGATGGCTATCAGAGATGGGAATGTTACACTACCTGTAGAGCTACAAGATATTGATTTTCTTGCGTAAGTTATATATGATTTAGAAAATAGAAGACAATGAAACAAGTTAGCATCCGAGCAGAGTTATTCTGCATTGATGTGGTGTCACCTGTCTCGTTAAGAATTTGATATGTCAGATTGGACAGAATCTTCCAGTAGTGAACTATGGTTACGAATACATTAAATATTCTGATTAGACGATAACATTGCTACTGGTTGAAAATTTTGTGAAAGAAAGAAAGCAAAAGAGAGGGAAAAAAACAAAATGACAACAAATATCCAACAGATGAAACTGAACGTAAAAGGGGCCACGAACAAAAAAATTGCTTCTCAGTGAACCTCTCTCCTTTGAAGTACCAGACTACCAGATATAGTGATTTTGATTGGATTTATGAGTTTAAACAGGAGTAATTGCTATTCTCGACTGATCTTTGATTAGCACTGTTCCATCTCAAATGAAGAAGCAAATAACATTTCAACAATAAATCCTGCTCTGTTCCCGTTTATTAATAACAAAAGATAAAAAAGTAAGCTGACGAAATCAATGCTTGGGTTGCACAGGAAGAAAATAGCAAAAGAATGTAATAAAATTTCCCCAAGAATTTCTACTAGACTAATTCCTCTCTTCAATCTGTTGACATTGAACATTTGGATAAATATTGTGCAATCTTAAGGTAAATACATATCAGAGTTCATACATGAGACTGCAACTTCTCTCCCCTTTTTTTCTTTTTGGGTATAAATCCTGTTACTAATCTCAATTAACCCTCGTCTAATCACATGCACTCCAAATCATCTTCCCATTGTTCTAGGACGATAGAAGCAAGAGCAAGTCTGTACGCGGTGGACCTTAAATTTCTAACCAGGACATAGATCTCCTTCCTTCTTTTCCTAACATCTACAGCCTTCCACTGTTCCTCTCTCAGGCGAGCAAGACAGACAGCCTCGCAAAGAGCCACTGCGACAGGCTTCTTGCTGCAGGATAAATTCATCAGTGCCAAAATGAAAGAACAGATCATAACTTTCGAAAAACTAACTTTTCCTCCAATTTAAAATTTTCTTTATCTGAGATTATACTACAGTTACAATGCAATGCAGCATTACCATTTAAGTTACTAACCTTCCTCGAACAAATCCTGTTGTAATAAAGCCAATCGGTAATCTACAAGATTCTTTAGCAGCAGGTTCTTCAGGTACTTGAAATTCCCATTTACCAGTTGCTTGCTGGGAGAAGCAGGATCTCGCAAAGGACTCAGGTACTTGAAGTTCTCCTTTGGAGATCTCTGATCTGCAGAATCGATAACTTAAAATAGGTGCATCTGAGAATAAGAAACTTAAGCTCCCTTTACATTTCTTTTTATTTTTGGGGATCAAGTAATACTTCTTTTACTTTTATTTAACAGAAGATTCAGCAAGCATCAATAAGATTGTTCAGTTAGATCATACCAGAGACGTCACAAAAGAACCT